GCCTAGTGAGCCGCAGCGCCGGCCTGATGATTAGGATTTTTTGTGTGTTACATTGTACATTTGATTATAGATAAAATTGGAATAAAGGAATACTGCAAACCTTTAAGGACATTTTACTTGCACTATCTTCAAAGGGAAAAATGGAATAACAAAAAATGGAGATAAACAGTAAATATAAAAAATTAATACAAGGCGGGATTTTCCCATTGCTGTAAGGTGCAAAAGGAGGACAGAAAGGCACAGATTAGTGCTTTGGATGAAGGGAACATATTGGGAAGGCTTCCTGGCAAGTATTGTAGTGTCTTTTGACTGGGGTTTGAAGGATGAAAAAATTTGAAAGGAAGTGAGTTTTCTGGGATTAGAATGGAACTATGGGAACCTGATCAGAGGCATAGAGACTGAAGAAAAGCAGGCAGGGAAGTCAGGTGTATGGGAAGAAGCTTCCATGGGCCAGAATACAGGCTATGTGAGGGATAGTTCTGCCAAAGAGACTGAGATACTGACTGACAACCCTGCATGCTGAATCAAGGGGCTTAAAGTTTATTCTTTAAGCATTCAAAACCCTAAAAATAAGTTGAGCTGGAGAGTATGTGATAATGGATGTCTTTTAGGAAGATTACCTTAGTGGTGATATTTTGGATAAATTAGAGGAGATAGAAATGAATTGGAGGTGGGTAATAAGGAGGTTACTGAAAGGTTCTGTACTAGTGTTGATTAAGCTTAAACAGAGGCAATGACTGCAGTAGTTGAAAAACATGAATACTAGTTCCAGTTTTGAGAAGGATGGATGGATACCCAATAAGGGGTAAAGAATTCAGAGAGAGGAATAAAATAGAGAATATTAATGGAGTGATGATGGCTTTGAATATGTAGAGTTTGAAGTTCTAGTATGGAGATATCTCAGGTGCAAGTTGAAATGTGTTAAAGCTCAGGGGCAAAGGCTACCATACTAAGTTGGGAGTCAGTTCTATGTAAGGTGAAAAGTAAGCTCTGGGGGGATGTTGAGATCCCCAAGGGAGAGGTGACTAAGGATAGACACTGAAGAAACAAATGCCTTTATTTAAAGTTTTTCTTGTATTGATCAAGTGACACATATAACCAAAAAAAGTGTTTATTTGCATATATCCCACTTGATTATCTGTTGTTGGGCCAAATTGTTGTTTATTGCATTTGAAAGTACTCTCTAACAGTAGTAACTACCCAGTAGTACTTTTATAGTGCCAAGCTTCAGGAAGTATTTTACTTTTTTTATTCACTCGGTATAGACCTGTGTTGCTTTCCAGGCAAGGATAGCTAATGCTTTATTGTAATTGTCAACAGTTTGTTCAAAAGCATTCTTAAAAACATACAAAAACAATATTTTAGGCGATACTTTTATAGTGTGAATGTGAAAAACATAGTATATTTGACCATGTACTTCCTTAAAACAATTGAGATACATTTTTGTCTCCTCTTCTGTGGTTTTAAAAATGCCTTCAACAGGTTGAAAGAATTTAGATAATTTGTTTTACAGAGAGATAAGGGTCTGACATTTAACACAACCCCAGGTGCATGTGGTTTCTTAAAAAATGTCAAAAAGGTCACATGAGTTTAGTGTACAAAGTCAGAAAAACAAGATCTTTTTGAGTGTCTTAACAGAATTGGAGCATAAATAAAATTCCCAATATAAAACTCAAGAAATTATTTAATTATTATAAAATGATATTTTATTTTTTACTCATTTTTGCTAATGATGAAATGATTATAGTATTACATAATTTTCTAAACTTTTTGTTTTAAAGTAATTTGATCTGAAGGCTAGCTTTGTTATTTCCATAACTGATTTTACTGGAAATAATTCATACTTTAATAAGTCAGTTTTCAAAAACATTGTAAATATGAATTTGTTTTAAATGCTAATAGAAGGATTTAATACCATGTGTCATAACAAAGGAATCATTTAACCTTTCTACAATAAGCTTACAGAAATAATTTTTTGTAAAACTAATACATCCATTTTCAATAATGATCTCAGAAGAACTGCCCAGATTGGAAGCTGTATAGTTATGTGGCATATCTCCTTTTGAAAGAAAAACATTCACATATATAGTAGTTTTCAGAAGCTACTGATTTTATTTAGGGTTGCTTGTTTGCCATATAAAACCTCATGTTTGTTTACATTGTTTATATTTTGAGTGATAAAAGCATGTTATAAAAAAGGAATTATTTAATTTTTGCTCTGTAAGCTTATTTTGTTTGTACTATGCATCATACCGTTTCTTTAACATTATTATTGTTGTCTAAAAAATGTTTTATAAGCAGGAAATGAGTTGTCTCCTTGTCCCAACAGGGAAGATAAGTATTTGAAAGGTTTATAAACAAGGAAATGGTGACACAGCTGACTTACTGGGGCCTCAAATTAAATGTTAGAGGACAAAAGCATCCCTAGCTTTTCATCCTATACCTCAACTGTGCCTTTTACCACAAATGAAGGCCTAGTTACATCCTGTATAACTGAATGGGAGTTGTATTTACTGAATTATTTCCTTGAAGGTAGATCTTTGTCTTACTTTAATATATGCCCCATAAAGAGTGCTTTACTGAATACTCATAAAGATTTTTCAAGCTATAAATTTTTTAAAAGATATATTTCATTTATTTAAAAGGCTGTTACAAAGAGAAAGAGAGAGAGAGAGATCTTCTACCCATTGGTTCACTCCCCAAATGGCCACAACAGCCAGGCCTGGACCAAGCCAAAGCCTGGAACTCCATCCAGGTCTCCCACGTGGGTAGCAGGGGTTCAAGCACTTGTACCATCTCTCACTGCCTTCCTGCATTAGCAGGGAACTGGACTGGAAGTGGAGCAGCCAGCTTGTGAAACTGGTGGTCATATGGGATATGGGCGGTGGCTCCATCCTCTGAGCTACAATGCTCACCCTTGATAACTATAAATTGAATATTCATTTACTTTTCTGCACAAAATTTAAAACTATATTAATGGAAATTAAGAGGACACTATAATAATAATAAAATTTTTCCTGTACTTCCTTTTAGTCCTCACCAAGTACCAGAATTGAAATATCTGCAATTTTGCTTTAATTTTCTGGGGAGTTTATTAAAGTTTGAATTCTGTTTATTGGGATATTTACTTTTGAATTCCAGGTCAGTTCTTGTTACTCCCAGCAAACAAGCTAAGAGAATGTAACTATCAAGTAGAGAAGTGCTTTCTGAGTTTGTTCATATCATTGGGTAGAATTTCTGTGGGTTGTTTTGATACAAAACAATCTTAGATGTCATTGACTGAACAGGATATTTGGATTTTCAGAACATCTAATTAAATGGTAGAAGGCATGCTTCATGGATTCTTTGACCAAGTCTACACTAGACTGTCTAAGCCCTTTAAACTATTACACTTACTCAAAAATTGAAGTATGTTCTGATTGGAGAGAAAATGGTACAAAAGACGTAGGGGGCTACTTCAGGAAAAGCATTTGTCTTTAAACCTACTCATTTACGCCCTGCTGATTATAGTATCAGTTGGGGTTTTTATTTAAATAAAGAATTAAAACTTACAATTGGGGCTGGCACTGTGGTACAGTGGGTTAAACAGTTGCTTGGGCCTCTCAAATACCAAATCTGAGTACCTGGTCAGTCCCAGCTATTCAGACTTTTCTGATCTAGCTTCCGACTAATGCATCTGGGAAGGCAGCAGATAATGGCTTGGGTTTCTGCTATCTGCATGAGATCTATTTGGAGTTCCTGGCTCCTGGCTTCACTTTGGCCCAGCCTGGGCTGTTGTGGGCATCTGGGAGTGAACCAATGGAATGAAAATCTATCTCTCTCTCTCTCTTCCTCTTTCTCTCTCTCTCCCTTTCTCTCCCCCGCCCCCGTTGCTGTTCAAATATATAAATCTTATTGATTTCCTATAAATCCTCAAATTCAGATTTTATTTTACTGAGTTTCTAAATTTCTGAAAGAATTGTTGTCATTCACAGAAAGTCAATTACTACAATAGTTTGATTTAGGATCCTACATAATTTTAAAAAGCTTGTTTTTGTAATTGTAAGTTGGTTAATATTTCATAGCTTAATTGTTTACCCTTGATTCACCCTTGGTACCTGAGCCAAACAAATTTAATAGATTATAACCAATGCTTTCAATGCATATGGTATTCATTTGTTAAAACTAGGTTCACATAAAGTATAGCCTTCCGGGAGATATAGTAGGTAATCTAGAAAGTAATAAAGCTAAGAAATACTCTCTTTAAATGTAATAAAGTTAAAAAATACCTTCTCTAAATTCCTATTAGAAATTGAAAACAGTAATAAATTTAATGTGGTTTATGGTATGGTAGGTAACTCAAATGTATTTTTTCTCTGGAAGTAGAGCCATCTGTATCTTTATTATAGGATTCTTGAGTTCTTTCTAGATTAACTTTCAGGCTAATGCCACACCTGATAGGTACCAAACTTTCCCTAATCTGATATTTAACTTGCTATTCATGAATTTATAGGTAGGAGGAGTGTATCATTTTGAGGTGGGGTGATTTCTGTCTGTTAGACTACTGCTTCAGCAGCAGGTGAGAGGACTGTTGATTGATGGGAATTAATTTATAAGATGAGTATAACATGTATTGTTTTTAAGATTTTATTTATTTATTTGAGAGGTAGTGTTAAAGACAGTGAGAGGGAGAGACAAGGAGAAAGGTCTTCCATCAGCTGGTTCACTCCCCAAATGTCATTTTAAGCACTGAGTCATCTTAAGTATTGATGACTGTTGATGATGAGAAATGATACACCATGACTTTTCTTATATCTCTTTGTATCTTAAAGAATTAACTAACTTTATATTAAATTATGTATATGTATCAGTATCAGACTTTACTCCCATCTGAAAGGGCCATTGAATAAGGAGAAAATGAAATAATATCCCAATTTACTTGTTTTGATCTTCCTCACAATCTCCCCTTTTGTAGGGCATAATAACTAAATTTTTAGTATTTTTTCTCTTCCTTTTTACAGGAACACCAGTGTATTCAGTAGCGTGGGGCCCTGATTCAGAAAAGGTTCTTTACACAGCAGGCAAGCAGCTGATCATTAAACCTCTTCAACCGAATGCTAAGTTTTACAGGTACTTCTCAGGCATTTGTAAATTGTTATCAGGATTTGCCTGACTGCTGAACTAGAGGGCAGTTGTTTAAGGAGTCCCTTTCTTCTGGGTGGTCTTTTTTACAGTCTGAGGCCTCTAAGTGTGTGGTTTTATCAGCCTTTATTGCATGCAGAAAATATCTGTTTTCAACAAGGTTTATTTCCCCCTTAGTTGAACTCACATGATACCAGTAAATCACAAAGATGTTTTCAGTTACTAAATTGTTGCATGATTTGGCACAAATAGTCATCTTTAAATTTAGCAGAGTCAGCCACAAATATATAGATTTGAAACAAAACAGAACTAAATCATAAAACGTTAAGAGCTTGCTTAGATCTTGTTTTTTTCGTCATCATCATCAATCATTTTCTGTTCAAACACTTGAACTCTAAGAGTTCTGCATTCTTTTAGTATTTTTAGAGTGGAGGAGTCAATATAATACTTGGAACAAATTATGTGAGCATAAAACTTTACCAAGTATATAGAGAATATTATCTTAAATGGTGGGCTCACATTTTCTTTTCTGTTGTTCAAAAAGGAAAAGAGTTAAGTTAGAAACTGAATCTTTAAAATATAAACTTATTTATCTATTTGAGAGACAGAGAGACCAGAGGCAGACAGAGCTTTCATCCACTGGTTTATTCCCTAAATGCCCACAATGGCTAGGGCTTTAGGGCCAAAGCCAGAATCTGGGAACTCAGTTCAGGTCTCCCCTATCAGTGGCACAGCTACTTGAATCATCATCATCTGCTGCTTCCCAGGATATACATTAGCAGGAAGCAGGAATCAGGAGGGGAGCAGGGACTCATACCCAGGCACTCCCGAAATGGGATGTGGGCATCCTAACGGGCAGTGTCTTAACTGCTAGGCCAAACACATGGCTCTGAAGAAGCTGAATTTTGAAGGTGGAAGGTAGGTGGTTGTTCTAAGTTCAGGGATCAAGAAAAATAGTTGTTCAGAAATGTGAGAGAAAATGGCAAACTGATAACCACACAAAGGCAACAGTATAGTAGTGGCAGTTAAGAATGGTTAGCTGGGACAAAGGAACAGAAAACCTTTCAGCCTATATCCAGGGTTTTTTAAATTTGATTTTGATTCCAATGTTAAAAGCCAGAATGATTTTCTTCACATTTTGATAATAACATGATGTAGTTTCAGTAATAAGAAAACAGACTTCAGAGATAGTCACTTGGGTCGCCATTTTTACTTACCTAAGTGTGCCATTAGGCAAGTTTTATTTTTTTAATTTTTTTATTTTTTAAATTTTTTTGACAGGCAGAGTGGACAGTGAGAGAGAGAGAGAGAAAGGGCTTCCTTTTGCCGTTGGTTCACCCTCCAATGGCCGCCACGGCCGGCATGCTGCGACCGGCGCATCGCACTGATCCTAAGCCAGGAGCCAGGTGCTTCTCCTGGTCTCCCATGCGGGTGCAGGGCCCAAGTACTTGGGTCATCCCCCGCTGCACTCCCGAGCCACAGCAGAGAGCTGGACTGGAAGAGGGGCAACCAGGACAGAATCCGGTGCCCCGACCACGACTAGAACCTGGTGTGCCGGTGCCACAGGCGGAGAATTACCCTATTGAGCTGCGGCGCCAGCCACAAGTTTTGTAACATGTTTGAACATCAGCTTTCTCATCCCTTAGTTGGTAATAATAATACTTACTTAACATAATTTTAATGAGGACTAAATGATTTAAATTCCAAAGTGCATAGGACAGTGCATACCATAAGCACTCAATACAGAGCAATTATAATTGATATTATAATTAGTGAGTATGTCAACCCTTTTAGTCAGTCGGGATAGAAAAAAAGTGTAGAGAGAGTGGACCTGGTAAAAGTTTGGGAGTAGAGACGGATGGGTTACAGCAGATACAAAAGTGTTTTAAGAAGTAGCAGTGGCCGGCGCCGTGGCTCACTATGCTAATCCTCCACCTGCGGCATTGGCACCCCGGGTTCTAGTCCCGGTTGGGGCACCGGATGCTGTCCCGGTTGCTCCTCTTCCAGTCCAGCTCTCTGCTGTGGCCCGGGAATGCAGTGGAGGATGGTCCAAGTGCTTGGGCCCTGCACGCGTATGGGAGACCAGGAGGAAGCACCTGGCTTCTGGCTTCAGATTGGCGCAGCGCGCTGGCGACAACAACCAGCCGTGGCGGCCACTTGGGGGGTGAACCAACAGAAAAAGGAAGACCTTTCTCTCACTGTAAAAAAAAAAAAAAAAAAAGTAGCAGCATCGGCAGCAGATGTAAACATTGATATACATTTCTTTTTTTTTTATTTTTTTTTATCTTTTATTTAATGAATATAAATTTCCAAAGTACGACTCATGGGTTACAATGGCTTCCCCCCCCATACCGTCCCTCCCACCCACAACCCTCCCCTTTCCCACTCCCTCTCCCCTTCCATTCACATCAAGATTTGTCGCTCCCCCTCTTCGTGGAGGAACGACACTGAATCCTGCCTAGGCTTCATATCCGAGTCACGGCACCATTATGTCGCTCCCCCTCTTCGTGGAGGAACGACACTAAGTCCTGCCTAGGCTTCATATCCGAGTCACGGCACCATTATGTCGCTCCCCCTCTTCGTGGAGGAACGACACAGGACCCTGCGTTGTTCTTTCGTCTGCTCGGCCCTCCCCGGGTTTGCTGCTGGTTCTTCCCGGGTTGGCTACTGTCCCTTCCACCTCCGTGGAAGGGCAGTTCCCCCTGGCCATATTCCCCACTTCCGCAGGGGAGCGGCACACCGCCGGCCGGCTCTCTCGGGGGCTGCACAGGTGTTCCTTCAGATGTTCCCCTTAGATGTTCCTCGTGCATGCCGTCTCTCTCCTCCTTTATAGTCCTCCTCTGCCAATCCCAACTCGGCTGCCCACACGCCGAGTACGCTGCTCTCCTCCAATCAGGAGCAGGTCCCACAGTCTATTGGCTGAACTGAAGGCAGCTGGGTAGAAGCTGTTTACTCCTCTCCCAGCGCCATATTGTGGGAGAGCAGATGCATAGAATAAGTCTTAATTCCAGTAACTTAGTCTAAGTCCGGGTTGCTTCCCACAAGATTCATTTTCGATTATCTTAATATACAGAAGATCAGCTTAGTATACCTTAAGTAAGGATTTCAACAGTTTGCTCCCACACAGAAACATAAAGTGAAAAATAATAGATGATTTTTTTTTAAATGATGATGAAATCAGATCACACCTATTGTCATGTTTAATCCCAGTGAGAGTCAAGTTGGGAATTGATAATTTCTTTTTTTTTTTTTTTTTTAACAGAAGATCAGTTTAGTGTACATTAAGTAAAGATTTCAATCGTTTGCACCCCCATAGAAACACAAAGTGAAATATACTGTTTGAGTACTCGTTATAGCATTAAGCCTCAATGTACAGCACATTAAGGACAGAGATCCTACATGAGGAGTAAGTGCACAGTGACTCCTGTTGTTGACTTTACAAATTGACACTCCTGTTTATGGCATCAGTAATCTCCTATGCACCAGTCATGAGTTTCCAAGGCTATGGAAGCCCCTTGAGTTCTCCGACTCTTATCTTGTTTAGACACGGTCATAGTCAAAGTGGAGGTTCTCTCCTCCCTTCAGAGAAAGGCACCTCCCTCTTTGAAGACCTGTTCTTTCCACTGCGATCTCACTCACAGAGATCTTTTTGCCAGAGTGTCTTGGCTTTCCATGCCTGAAATACTCTCATGGGCTTTTCAGCCAGATCCGAATGCCTTTAGGGCTGATTCTGAGGCCAGAGTGCTATTTAGGACATCCGCCATTCTATGAGTCTGCTGAGTACATTGATATACATTTCAAGGATGAAGAAGATAGAAGTGACTTTGAGGTTCCAAATTAGTAACTTGTATATAGATTATTTTTTAAATTTAATTTATTTATTTATTGCCAGGCAGAGTTAGTGAGAGAGAGAGAGAGACAGAGAGAGAGTCATGGACAGTGAGAGAGAGAGACAGAGAGAGAGGTCTTCCTTCCGTTGGTTCACTCCCCTAATGGCCGCTATGGCCGACACTGCGCCGATCCAAAGCCAGGAGCCAGGTACTTCCTCCTGGTCTCCCATGCGGGTGCAGGGCCCAAGCACTTGGGCCATCCCTCTCTGCCCTCCTGGGCCACAGCAGAGAGCTAGACTGAGAGCAACCGGGACAAGCACCTGGCACCCCAACCAGGACTAGAACCCGGAGTACCGGCGCCACAGGTGGAGGATTAGCCCTAGATTATGTTATATACATAATTTCATATAATTACATATATGTATGTTTTTGCTGCATGTAGAACACTCTGCTAAGAATTATTGGAACAAACATTAAATAAAGATGCAAATTCTTGCTCTTACCTTACTAAGGTAAAGAATTTAGGCAAAGAGATAATTATGGGAAAGAGCAATTCTGATTGCCTTTGGTCAAAGTCTCTCCAAAGCAGATATTCTTTAAGGTTTATTTATTTATTTGAAAGAATTAGAGAGAGGGAGAGACAGAGAGATTTTCCATCCATTGGTTCACTCCCCAAATAGCCACAATGGCCAGGGCTGGGCCAGGTTAAAGCCAGGAGCCAGAAACCTCATCTGGGTCTCCTATGTGGGTACAGGGGCCCAAGTACTTGGACCTTCCTCTGCTGCTTTCCCAGGCAGGGAGCTGGATTGAAATAGAGTAGCCAGGACTCAGAACAGCGCCCATATGGATGCTGGCATTGCAGATGGCTGCTGAACTTGCTGCTCCACAGCACCGGACCCCAAACCTATTTCTTATACCTGAAAATCTGCCATGAAATTATAGAGCAAAAACAGGCAAGTTGAATCTTTTAGTTCATAGCTTTAATTTATAGTTAGATGAATGTTGTTAGATACTTGCCATTAGACTGAAACTCAGGAAACTGCTTTTATCATCATTGATTAATTAAAATACAATTAAGTTCTTCAGTAGGACATGGGGACCAGGGTATAGTGAGGGAAAGGAAAAGCTTCCACCACCAAAATTCAGCCGG